CAACTTGTACTACTGCTACTTCTACTACTACTACTACTAGTGTGACTACCACTACTACAATAATTGTAACACAACTGCCACTACTACTACTACTAATTCTACTGTAACTACTACTACTGCTATTCTAACACAACTATTTTTACTTCTACTGCTGCTGCTACTACTACTACTACTATTAACACTACTACTACTGTGACTACTGAGAGTACTACTACTACTTCTTCTACTGCTGCTGCTACTACTACTGTTATTGTAACACAACTACTGCTACTACTATGAATTCTACTACTACTACTACAACTTCTACTACTACTACCACTGCTAATTTTACTTTTACTACTACTACAACTTCTATTACTGCTGCCACTGCTGTTCCAACACAACTACTGCTACTTCTACTTCTACTACTACTACTACTTCTAGAATTTTATTTTTTTTTTAAATTAAAAGATTAAAATTCTACTACTACTTCTACTACTGCAACTACTAGTACTACTACTTCTTCTACTGCTGCTACTACTGCTACTGCTATTCTAACACAACTACTGCTACTACTACTACAACAATTACTACTATTTCTGCATTTTCAATCATGGTTTTGAACTTATTTCAGCATTTAATATAATTGAGATACTGCCTATCTGCTGCCCCTGAAAGCTGAATAGTGCAACCACAACCACAGAGGGCCCTAAATGGCTCAGTAGTGTCCATGCCTTGCCTAAAGGCAGATCAGCAGACTATTCCTTTATCATTTTAAAGCTGCGGTCGTCTAATCCCACGCCCACTTCCTCAACCTGCCTCATGGAAATAAATCCCACAAGAGGAAGTAAAGTTTTATGAGGTAAAGTGACACTTGATTTACAGAACAGGCGCCGCATGGCAACATGTGTTAATTGCAGCAGTTGACAGGCGCTGTGAGTGTAGTCAAATCACAACTACACACAGTCCGGGTGTTATGCAAAGGATAGGTTCACAGTCCTTCAACCCAACCTTATTAAAATACTTAAGACACAGCTATGGTTTTAAGAAACTTGACATTTTGTTGTATCTTTGCCACCAGACATAGCATCATTTTGGACTTTAAAGCCGTAAATCTTCTCTTTCTACTAATAAAAAGACATAAAATGCTGCATTCACGTGGAATCAGGCAGACAGCAGACGACAGACAGACAACACTGTCTAGACCAGTGGTTCCCAAATGGTCCTGCCACAGTGTCTAGATTTCTCCTTAGTCATTGGTTCAAGATCCACACAGTTTGATACATTCAGTGTCATACTAGCGTTCAGCCATGTCGTCAAGCTAGTTTGTCTCTGTTAAGTAGCAGTCCATTAGTCACTCTACAACAGGAAACACCACTTTAGAATAAAAGCTCTGTGACATATATTCACTGTATTTAAAAATAAAGTGTGTTGTTTACAAACTTAAAATGTTTGCAAGTCACTTGCAGTCCATTCAGAATGAACCTGTGACCCACTTTTGGACTAGGACCCACCAGTTGGGAACCACTGGTCTAGACTACAGGGATAAACAAACAGTCTGACAGAATGGCAGGATGGCAAAATGAAACACACATGGATATGTTGCAATCTTGAAATCTCCCGTTTTATGCTGCTTTGTCTTTGTATATATATGCATGTGTGTTTGTGTGTGTGTGGGTATTTATGTGTATAAATGGAGGTTTATATGCCATAAGCACTTTAGTTGGTGGGATATGACTTGTTTTTATTTTTTGTTATTTGTTATTCTATGTGGGGACCGCAGATGGAAACTAGCTGTTAGCTAAATCTGGTGTTATGCATCTCTTCTTGTGATTCGAGATTAATGTTTATAACACATGGTCCCTGTTAAATAAAATTGTTAAAAAAAAAAAAAAAAAAAAACATTGTCCACAAAGATACTAGTCCATACCCATTGAGTGCACAGTTGCCCACGTACAGTTTCACATGGTGTGTGTTTGGGATACAGGTCATAGGAAATTGCAGATTAAATAGTCAACTGAACCCATTAAGAAGAGCAATGTATTCAGACAGAGTTTCTGAAAAACGTGGGACAGACAGAATGACTGACTGACAGAATGACACACTGACAGTTTCCGTGATTATGTACAGTATACCATACCATGACTTAGTCATACCAAAAATTTGAAAAAAAAAAACCAACCCAACAACATGGGGCCACAGGGGGAGCCACAGCGATTGGTCGCATTTTAGACATTTTTAAGCATTTTTCTGTTGTTATTGCGCCACCCAGTTGCCAATTACAGTTAAATTTCTCCAGTCACCTTAAGGCGTCCTGTTCTACATATCTACCAAGTTTAGTAAAAATCCATACGGCAGTTAGGCCAAGATAAGAAATTAGCTCTGTAGCGCCCCCATTTTGTTTGATAGGGTCAATAATGGAGGGGTCCCCTCAGATTATGTGTGGTCATATGCCTACAAAGTTGCGTGGTGATGGGTGAAACCCTTGAGATGTTATACACCTTTATGTGATGAGCCACGCCCTCCGCAATATTCATTGCCTTATAGAAGCTCAGTTTTAGTAAGTTTTCCAACTTTTGCCAAGAGGGAACTTTAGATA